TCCCAGATAGTTTTATTTTTCCATTAGCAGAGTTATGTGTATCCTTGAAAGGTGCTTAAGATGTGAAGAAAAGTGTTCAGGACAGTCTGTTTTCTGTTACTTTTTTTCCAAAAGACCTTTGACTTCTAGATTCTGATGTCCTTTTGTGAGATGAGTGTTACAGCTAATAACACAGCTACAATGTTGACCTAAAATAATTGTTCTTGCCATGCTTGATACTTGCCTGCCAGTATCAAATGCAAGAAAACCTTGATGAAGTCATTCGCTTCAGACTAAACTGAGATGATAGGATTTACTATATACTTGGTATAGACTAAGAGCATATACACAGACAGCTATCATAGCTGCCAGTGATGTGAAGTAGCTCGTCCATGTTCCTGAAGCGCACTTTAATTGCACAGTCCACTGGTCTTTGCATTTTTAAGTGGCTTCTTTGGCCAAACAAAAATAAGTAGTGAAGGATGGGTGTTGGTGGGACTTTGTATTTCTTGCTGTAAACTTCTGAGTACTAGCTCATGTGCTGTAGTGGTCAAAAAGGTGATAAGACACAAAACAGAGAACCAAGTAGAAAGCTTCACTGACCTTTTCATTTTGAGTAGTTGTATGTTTGCTCGCATATGATTTTTTAGGAAATAAATTCCTACTTCTGAACCACTCTTACATACCCGTCTCTTACATACATAACCACTTTCCACAATACGTCTTTATACTACATGTTTTTTACAATGCCATTAATCCTAAATCCTGACATCTCTTGTACAGTGACAAAGTCACAAATATCCATTGGGAGTTCTACTTCTCTCAGGTTAATACTACAAAACAATCTGTCTTGTGCCTCTGAAAGTAACAGAAGCTGAAAATCTATTCTTTGCATTGATTCAAATTATCCTTGCTCCTTTAAAAGAAAGGAAATGTTTATAGCAATATTAAAATGTCTTTCTAGCCTTCCTATGTTGTGTTGCCTCTTGAAACTTCAGATGTTTAGCTATTCCTACAAAATGTAACAATATTGCAATATTTCCCAGCTGATCTGTCAAAAATAATTATTCATGATTCAGATTGGATGTATATGTGGACATTGAAATTATGATTTATCAATCAGCACCATTTTGTTTACCTAGCCTTGTCTTTAAATGTATGTAAAGTCTAGTTGGTTCAGTCTTGTTTCCCTGTTTCACGATGGATTCAGATAAAACATGATAAGCAAAATGGTGCTGAAGAGACATTGAAAAAAAGCCTGAATTTCCTGTTGATTTAATTATTTCTGTGCTGGATTTCAGGTTAAGGCATGTTGTCTAGCCCTTCATCCCTTTTGAGAGTTAAACTAAGATCGCCATTTTATGCTGTCATAAAACCTTTTCTAAAGGCAAATCTTTCAATGTATTTGAAAAAGGGGAAGAGAACAAAACAGTGTAAACTATTGTCAAAGTTGTAAATGTATCTACCTGCCAAAACAAACCTGATGACAAAATTGAAGCAGTCAGAAAGACAACAAGGAATACAAGAAACAGTGCAAAGCTGTGTCTGAAGTAGGTGGAGTCATTTCTAGTTTGGGGTGGTGGGGTAGAAGAGCGCCTTTGGTTTCTGATATGATTATTCTGAAAAATTTCCATTCAATGAAAAACATTCCACTGAGTTTTGTGCATATTAAATATCTGCTTATAGAAAGTGGACAAAATGAGCATGTGCACTTTTTTCTGTTTGTGAACATTTTCAAGCTTTATGTTGTGGTTTTTTTTAATTATTATTATCTACTTAGGAGTGATTGAGTTCATAGTTTTGATTTCTACCCTCCTCCAGCAGACTAGCTTGTACAGGTTTTGAATCTCAACAACTTTCTGTACGTATTATACAGGACTCAGAGTAATTTACCCTGTGACTCAGTCTTGACATAAGAATGCTCGTATGATTTACTGACCTTTATCTCACACCTCAATATGTTACCCTTTTTTCCCCCTTATCTTGCTTCATGTCTCTATGGAGTGTATATTTTTTTGGCAAGGTGAAAAAGGTTCTATAGTGCTAAAATACACTTAGATTGCAGTACGTTCTCTTTTTCCAATAATGCTTTGTATAGATTTGCGTTTTTATATGTAAAAGGGCATGTAGGAAAGTGTAATTTATTATATTTCTTGTGTTAAAGCATGGACAAAGTGAACAAGTGGAAAAGAAACTGAGATATCTCCCAGTATTATATTACTCCTTTCTCTTGTTGACTGATTGGTATTTGCTTTAAGAGAAAAGGCCTTTCTCAAAGTTTGAGTTGAGGAAAATCAGTGGGATTTTTGCCTTTGCTCTGATACAAGCACATAGGTAATAACTAATTCAGTTAATCAATCTATGCTAGCCTTTGTAAAGAGCTTTGAGACTGTATTTTTAGGTACATTTGATATGCTAATACTTTCATAATATAAAAGATAAATTTCTTTTTTTTAAAAAAAATAAATATGGTAGGTGAGGTTAAGTGGAATTAATTAGTGCATGGTGACCCCTGGAAGTGTTTCATGTAGATCTTGGCTTTTGGAGATACTCTTTTCAACTTGAGTGTTCACATACTTGAAAGCTTTGATCTTCAGTATTTAGTAGTGATACCATTATTTCAGAATAAAATGTATAAGGTACTTGTATCTAAACTTCAATTTAAAAGATTAAATGGCAATGTGATATGTGCATTGAATATAAAAATTCTATGCTTTGAAATGCAGAAGTCTGGTTATTTTAACTGATTATTACTTAGTGATTACCTGTTGACTTACAGGAACAATAAAATCAGTCATCTGTGGACCTCTATAAATTAATGCATCATGTAATGCTGTGGTATGTACACTAAAGAGTTATTGCTTCTGTAGTTTTTAGCCTGCTCATTTGCTTTGCTAGTTGGTATATAACCAATTTGTTCATCTCTTAATGCAGAAAGAAAGCACTAACAGTAGTGCTCATGTGACACTTGAGGATATATTGAAAGAGTAGTTCCAGCAATAACTATTCTCTAATACATGGACACTGTTTCAGACCCTAAAGAGGACAGTTTCTTTGTTCTAGATTGCGTTTCTAGCAGCAGAGAATACCCCAACTCTCCTACATAGCTTCCATTTTCTGAAGTATGCGTGTTCTAGCTTGTTAGTGTCGGAGAGTGGATGTGATTTATGCAACCAGCAGTTGGTTTCAGCTCCACAGAACAACTCTTTTAGAGTAAGTCAGTTTATTTACGTGTTGTTGTGGTAGCATTGCTTATATCTCTGCCTGGTGACTTCTACTTCAATTTATGTCACTGCAGAAAGCATCTGGTTGTCCTTTCAGTTCCCTGACAGTTCAGGTTTTTGTTTCACACTCTGCTTGCACTGTTTTCACATTTCTGCCTTCTTCGGCTGACTGTTGTTATAAATCAATGTTTGGTCAATTTGTCTTCTGTTCTATCTCAAGCCTCCTCTAGATGCATGTTGACAGTCCAAAATAGTTTCTTCATACTAACCAGAATGGCTTGCATGCAAAAACCTTCCTTCTCATCAGTATGAGAAAAGAATGAATGGAAAAATCAAGTCTAAATTTTATTAATTGGATAATTAGTATAGAAGTTTCTTGCATTCTTTACAATACTTTAGTACCACCCAGCAACTGTGTAGAAACTCCAAGTCCTTGGTAATTCACACAGTGGAAAACTCGCACCACAATTCTGCCAAAAGAATGGTTGCTTTATGTACAAGTTTTTGTATCGGGAAACAAAGTCAGCTCAGTGCAGAATGAATAATATGCTGTTCAGAGTGACCATTTCTTGGAGAATACCTGGATGTACAACTCTAATACTGTGTGTGAAACTCATCACCTGCAGATTTTTAGTAATGGTAAAGTGGTTTGTGGTTTGTTGTTTTCGTTTGGTTTTTCTTTTCTTCAAGGCATAAAGTTGCTGGAATGTGAGCCCTACAACCACGTATGGAATGAATGAAAAAGGTGAATGAAATTTGCAAACAAGTGGATTTCCTGACATGCCAAAATATGAGCTCTAAGCAGAGCATGCTTATTTACTGACAGGTAAAATGGAGGCTTTCATCTGGAGCTTTGAGCCTTCTTTAGTCAGTACAGCTGTACAAATTCAGCAAGCTGTTTTAAAGTGTGTATAGGAAAGAGGTAGGAAGAATGCACCACAGCTTTGATAAAGTCAAATTAAAAATTAATAGAAGTAAAAACACTGTTCTACCTGATCCAGTAGGAGACAAGTTTGGGAAATAAGCATTAGTAGGTGCAGAAGCCTCTGGTGCATTATTTTATTTAATTTTAAATATAACTTGTCTATTTTGTGATGATTTTATCACTTGCCTCTTGAATACACTAATTCTCACAGGAATAATCTTACCTCCTACGCTGCTGATGTAGGAATGCGCTGTATTTGATGATCAACAATAGTATACTCCAGAAAGGGCTTTAAGCCAGCAGTGCTTGGAAGAAACAGATCTTGTAACAGTAGCAAATCAATAATTTCTTTTTATATTTGAGGAACATACATATTTGTGCTAGTTAAAAACAGGCCTGCCTAACTTACTTTATTTTGCTTACCTGCACAACTTCAAGATATTGTATCTGTATTTTTGTACCAGTATTATGATCTCAAAAGTCTATTCAGAAGAGATAGCTACATTATTAGTTTGGGGGGTTTTAACATGCACTTTTTCATGTTGGAAGTAGGTGTGGTCTGGAAGATAAATCAGAACTGATGCTAAACCTTTGTTAAATTAGCTAATGCAGTCGGGATTAGCAAGAAAAGTTAAATATTCCTTACAGTAAGAATTTAGCTGTTTCAGTGGGATACCTCATAGATGATTGCTTTAAGCAAGAAGAACAAAGCAGGAATGTTATGTAACTCTAATTTGCAGCATAGTAACTCAAAATGAGAAAAAAAATACAACAGTATGGAAATGAGATGGTGTGATGAACAAGTGCAACTTATATCTCCAGTTTCATGCATTTTGATAATTACAGTTTCTTGACTAAGTGTATAGACTTACAGCAGTGTGTCAGGCAATTTACAGAAGGAGAGGGAAAGAAGGTCAAGTTCAGTAAAAATCCAAGAGTGGTCTCCCATCAGTCAATACACCAAGTTTCCTAGAAGTTTGGGGCCACTGAAACACATACAAAAGTCTGCAATAAAGAACTGCTCATTAGATGAGCAATATTTCGATAATGAGGTGCCCTGGTATGAGATACATAGGGAGCAGATACCCTGAGCAGGGCCGTGGAGGGGCAGGGATGTGACAAGGAAGGTGTGCTGAGCATGGAGGTGCACAGACCACTTCTCAGATTCCTTTTTAGAGTGCCATGGGCTGCAGGGAGGAGAGGAGGCATTGTGGTCATACAATGTCATGGTTAAGGGTCTTTTACTCTGTTCAGTTCTCCATTCCTAACAGTGCCAATATTTTCACAAAGCAGTCCTAGGATCCAGAACTGTTTTCTCCAGTTATTGCTTGTGCTGTCTAGGCAACAGGATGCTGTCAAAATAAAAACCAACCATGCCCCCACCCAAAAATCAACTGTGGGGAGAGGGGATGAATAGCTGCTTCTACTGCAAAATGACACATAGGTAGGGGATGGGTGGGTGTGTTTTATGATTGCAGACTTTTCAATTGCTTAAATTCTATGTCCCACTTTAAATATTAATGATGTCCATGCAGATGCTTGATATGGCACTGTAATTCCTAGGATGTAAATGGTAGCCTAAAGGAATAGATTTCATAAAGTACTGGGAAATTGCTCTGCATTATATTCAGAGGACTACTATGTAATGGAAGCAGTACTTTAGAAACCATGTGCTTTCAACTCAAGATGGAGAAATGTTAGGAAATCTTTTTTGTCTACAATACATAAGCTTGGGAAATCCATATGTACTGTTCTGGATCTTGTCATAAATATTGTCTCTGTCATAGAAATGTTGCAGCTTGAACTGTAGTAAATGAATAGTATTGTCTGAATTCTGTGAGTGGATTGGATTAAAAATGGTTGGATTCTGGCTTTGTCTGAAGTTGAGAAAAAGGACGTCTTATTATTGAGATAGCTGTCTAACTCTATAGTCTTTTTGAGATAAGGCATCAATAACTTTCTCCTAATCTTAGTTGAGCTTAATCAAACACCTCACTTATCAGACTTAGCTGCTCTCAGGTAAAAGCCTCCTTATCTTGCATTCACAGGATTTTATAGGAAGTTAGTTAACATCAAAAAGCGCAGATTTTGAGCATGCCAAAGTCACCTCTGCAGAATATAAGTAATCACACGGTTCACATCCACAAAAAGTAGTTAAATCTGAAATCTTGAGAGGTTCCAGTCACAATTGGTAAATATTTTTTTTTATTAATAATGATAATGGCTGAGAGTTTTGTTCTTTGGAGCTTAACATTAATGTTTCTGAACAGAATAGTACCAGGTTACATGTGCATACCAGATCACATTCTTGCTTAGAAAAAAAAAAACACATGTAAAGGATGGTGAAAGAGACATAAATTTAGATTGAAGGATTATTTTCACAATAAAGCACACCAGTGGGTGATACTAAAGGACTTACATTGCCAAGTCATGCTATATATAGCAAGCCCACTTAATTTTGCTTGTTTGATGCATTTTATCTCAGAACTTTTACTTACTTTACATGCCAGCCTATGAAGCAGAGGAGGGCTGCCTTAGTATCTGATTCTGCTAATTTCGTTTAGAACAGTGTAAATACCCAGAGAAGATCCAGAGGAGCGATTTTGTTTGCTAAATGGTAAAGGAGATATGAGAGGACAGATGTAATCCAGAAAGGGAATTGACTTGGCACTGATGTAAAGTAATAAGGATGATATGAAAGTCTAAGGAAAATGTTTCATTTCCAAAGATAAAAAGCATTATGAAGATTTCAAAGAGCTAGAGTGCTACTGAACTGTATCTGGTGAAAGAGGAGTGTGAAATATTAAGCACTTGAAATGTTTTGTTCATATGGGAATTCATTTGAAATTGTTGTTGATTTTATTATGCAGTTCATGTTAATGGATATTTGACTGTAAGGTTGATTATTAATGAAGGACAAATGAAATCTATGCTTAATGTTATGCCATAGCATGTCACCTTGAAACTTTAATTGTAAAAATTCAGTAGGGCCAGACTTGATCAGTATTTCAATTGAAAGCCATGAGATGCATAAAGGAGTGCTGGTGACAGGAGCCAGGACAGCTTAATGACAGAGGAGGACTGAGCTGCTGCAGCCTTTCATGATCTTATTTTAAGATGGAGGAAGAAAAAAATTCCACCCAAAAAGCCCAAAACAAATAAATTTTGGAGGGTTTGCTTGCACATCAGTCTATAAAACCTGTGTAATACTTCCTATAACTAGTTTACTGCAGTCTTACTTGCTGATTTTTTTTTAATTACTTTGCAGTTTAATAATGTGAAGTGACTATTGTGTTTTATACCATGACCTTCAAGCACAAATTTGCCTCAGAATTAAAGGCTCCCTTCTGAAATGTTGCAGCGGTACAGAAATATTCACTGGAGTGGGCCCAGACCTTTTTATGTCACATCTGGATGTTGAGGGTGGGAGCTCTTCAATATTTGTTTTTTCTGATAGAAAATCTTGGTTTGGAAGTCTTTCACTGACTATAAAACGTTAGCACTAGGATGGATTCTTTTCAGAACTAAACAGAAGAAGCCTCCTTTTATTCTCTTTTCACCCTTTCCACAATCCCAAAACACAGACCTCAGTAGCTCTTGTCAGTAACCCAGCACCCAGTGTGCACCCTTGCTTTCACAAGCATTCGTGCAAAATGGGACCCAAGGAGACTCTAGAATGGGGGCAGCATGGCCATGTGTGTGACTGCAAGTGATGTAGACTGGTGAAAGTAGAGCTGTAGAACAAAACGGTTGTTTGAGAGGACCTATCATCCACTGTGTGTGCTTTTCTGTGGGGTTTTTTGTTAGCTATTGTCCGGCTCGAGGGAAATACACATTTGCAGTTGGAGTGTCACACTGCCACACTGTGGCTATTTGGAAGATAGATCACAGCCAAGAAACTCATCTGTGGACCCCTAGATCCATAGTAGAGAGCTTTGGTCCTTGTTAATCTCTTACTCAGATGAGACAGGTTTGCATAAGACTGATCAGCATGACCATTTGTCTCTTCTGTTTTTCTTTTATGTTTCATTGAATCCAATTCTTGTCTCTGGGAGATTTTCATATTCTTGTGACTTGCTCTGAAGTAAGCAGAGGGGAATATCATGAGAACCAACATAAGTTCAGTAGTCTTCTGTGCTTGTTTTCAATTCTTTCCAAAGTAAAACAAATTTCAATATCCAATTGTTTTAGTCAGGCTTCAAATGTAACCTGTATATTTAATATAATCTAATATTCATTAAACAATTCTTAAAGTTCATTATTCAAAAACATATCTGCCATTAGGACCTCTAATGGATTCCCTTGGGGGATCCCTGTGGAACTATTCCTCTTCAGAAGTCCCTTTCTGAACTCATCAGTCTCTGATCTCATCTGTCTCTCCACTCAATGTGCTTGTGAAATTAAAAACATACACATAATCAAAGAAATAAGCTGAGGGGAAAGACAAACAGCTGTTTTAAAGCTGCTTCTTTAAGTATCTGTGGCCCAAGCCAGAGAGTAGTCAACCTCTGCCTGTTGAACAGCATGTGCTTTGTGAACAATGGCGGTGGCATCCCAAGGCAGTGCTCCAGCCGCCCCGACACAGCTTCGTGCCCCGCTCAGCCCTGTTCTGCCTTGGCATGGTGGGATCAGCCATGGGCATCATGACCTGTGTCACTTGAGTGCAGATGTCCTTTGATGCAGAGCCTGGTCTTTGACATATGAGGACACTTTTTGGTGTGTGGCTAGTAGATGAGGAAGCCTGACCACATCTGATCCAAAATAAAAGGACCAAATTTTTGAAGCACACCCTTTAGTGAGGGCACTCTAACTAGTTTTCTGCCTTTTGGAATCTGGAAGCAATTCTCTCACATGTCCTAACTGCTAATTTATCTCATATGCAAGAAAAGTAATACTCAAGCAATTATCAATCTATTTAAACTGCTGTATCTCAAATCTGATAGTGTCAGCTGTGACTAGGAAGCAGTAGAAAGCAAGCGCAGATCATTATATTGTTACGTTATTTAGCTCTGCCTTACAGGGCCTAGGGATGCTAATAGCACAAATTTCAAATCTTTTGAATGCTGGCAATTTGCAGATGCCTAAAGACATAGAGAATAAAAGAAATATTGTCAGGGTTATACAGTGGCTATAACAGAGCTAGAAAGAGAATTAGGAGTTCTTATTCACTCACTTTTAAGCATTAGAAGAGATTCTTTAATGGTGTCAGGTCTCAATATTCGCTATAGGAATTGAGGAGATCAATTCAAATGCTAAAATTCAGTGGGAATTTAAATAAGATTTTTAATGAACAAATGAATGTTCCTTTGTGACATGGCATGCTACTGGAACCTTCAGAATTGAGACATATGGCCCTTACACAGGTTAAGCAACTTGAGTGTAATTATGCTTATAGAAGTTGTCTCAAGTTATAATTACAGTTCACTGTTTTGAGACAGTGTTGTCTTTTCCATTCCTTGCTACCAGCAGCACATATGTGACTTGGCACTTTATCCATATGCATTGTTCACATTATATCACATTAATAAGGTCAGTGCACCTGAGGTAAAATGAGCTATTGCACAGCTTTTTTCCCCTGTCTGCTCCAGCATGTGTCATAATAAAGCCTCCACAGGTCATTGTGTGGGTATCTCTGGGCTTTCTTCTGCCAGATGGTTGGGTTGCAAGTGTGAGGTCTCAATCTCATTCCTTTTTTTTTTTTTTTCCTTTCTTTGGTATATCTTTAATTCTGAAGAGTTTGTTAAATCTGAGTGCAGCATGTATAATTTTCTCATTAAATCAATGGACAAGGTCATTATATGTTAAAAGGAGGAAATAACTAGTTCACACATGTTATCTTCACAAAAATATGAGCTGAGCAATTCTGTACTGACCTTTCAATATCATTCAAAATTAAATTCCATGTGCACTCTGCTACCATATTCCATTCTGATGCTGCTATGATGCTAGAATGGCTTTTAGATGAAAAATATAAACTGTAACTATTTCTTTAACTGTTCCATTGCATTTGCTTGTCATAGTTTTTTGTTTGTTTGCTTTTATTTAACTTTTTAATTTAATGCACATTTATTTTCACTGTATTGATCATGGAAATATCAGGTAGTTTTTCATTGCAATAAAAACTGCTATGAACTTTGCATGTCTCCAGAAATACAGGCCTTGATATGCTTAAGAGTAACAAGTGGAAGTACTGGCATTGTTAAATACTATAGAAAAGACATTAATATAGATTTGTAGTCGTGAAATGAATTGGTCTGTCTCAGTGGCAAGAAGCAATTTCTGCAGGGTGTAATTCAGAACACAAAAGAACATTGCTACAAAGGTGCTGTAACGATACAGAACAGTAACAGATAAGCCCCTAGAGTGCACATATTTACTAGAGGAATATTAGAATGATTTGAGAATGAAGAAATGGGATAATAACACACTGGGCTGCAGTGTTCGCATTTGTGTATTTGCTTAATTGTTTTATCGCAGTGCTTTAAATGTGGTGCATGACAAATGGAAATCTATAAGATGTTTCTTTATTAGGGTTTCACCTGAAGCTTTAAGATGGAGGCATTTATCTTTGCTAGTAGCAGTGTTCTGTATGAGTTAATACTTTATGAAAATGCATGGATGCTATGCAAAGGAAGTCAGGTACTTTGAGGAAAGCTTTGTCTTGCTGTTTCAGAACATAGCACAGCTGGCTTTTAATATTTGCTGTGGTCTTGGAAAACAACAGATTATAGATAAATATTTGGGGGGTGAGGCAGAGATGACTACTGCTAAAAACTTTCTGTGTCTAAAAATGAAGTATAGAGGCCAGAAACTGTGCTGAAAAAATGGATATTATTTTATTGAAGTCTCAGTTTTGTCTTGACTGAGACCTGATCTGATGATGATGAAAATTAAAGCTGGATAAGATGATGTTTCTTCTTAATGCAGATTGTCTTCAAAAGTTTCAAATGAAAGATTTGTACAGGAAAACAAAACTTTGCCAAGGTTGAGGACAAGATATTAAACAGCAATAGCAGGACATTCAGAATCCAAGGGTGCCTCTGCGGAGATGTAGGAGGGCCATGTTCAGTTGGTTCTGCTCTATACAATATTGATGTCCTGACCTTCCTATTTTATTAGTCTAGGATATCTCCATGTCTTTCTGGTTTTGACCAGAGACCTTTCCTAGTGTATTGCTGAAGCTGGTCTATTCTCAGCCTTTTGTCTATTGTGACTAAAAATAATTTAGTTGAGCTAGTCAGGAATTTGGATGTTTCAAATATAGACAGATAGGGTGACTTGCCAAACTAGAAAGAGCACAATGGAGTGGTTTCAGTTTGAAGTTGAGTTCATCCCTTTGCTTTTAAGATAAGAAATTCCTGAACTGAGAAAGCAGATACAACTTCCACTTTAAGAAAGGACACTAGGAAAGGTCAAAACAATTTAGAAGAGATTTGTCTCTTCAAATAAGGCAAGTAGTTATGTTGTTTCAAAAAAGGAAATGAAATCTTCATTGTGGAGGACTTATTCATGTAAAACAGATTAAAATATGCATTCATAATATGTAAATATAGAGTCAATTAACATGAAGCTTTTTTACAGTATAAGTGATTGTAACCTGCCAGTGTCCTCTGGGACGACTTTGAAACTGAAATGCTTCTTCTCTATAGTCCCAGTTAACAAAAATCAATAAACAGTAAACATAGAGCAGTCTGTTGCCAAGTGAGCAATGTCTGAATAGGACAGTTTAATTTTTAACTGATGAGCAGAATTCACCAGGAACAGATAGGCCCAAGAGTCTACAAAGCCCTGCATGAGTTCTAGGACCAATTTCAGTAGGCAACAGAAAGAGTAAAATTTAGAAAGTGGATTAAAATCTGTGTGGACTACCTCCTGTCTGTTTTGCCTGAGATTTAGTCAGCTACACCTGTATGAAATCAATATGAAGAGGATATAAAAACACTGAGGCATTTATTTCCACTTTCAGTTTGATCTTTTCTTTGATCCTCGAAAGGCTTCATCAAGGCAGACCAGTTCGAATCTGTCAGGAGACCTGTGGTACAGAAGGTCGTGGTGTGTCAATTTTGCAAAAGTGACATCTTTTCCCTGCAAGTGACTCTGCTCGGAGTCAGGAAAACGGGTAGGGAGGTAAGAGGCCAAATTCTTACTTCTTACCATTGCCACAAGTCTCTGTAAAACTGATGCTGTCAGGAATATTCAAGTCAAAATAAAGAGATAATATTATTTATCCACTTGTATAACATTCTATAAATATAATGTAAAATTATACAAGTGGATATCTGACTTTTTTCCCCTTGAACAGTTGGAGTAGCTACTCTATTTGATAACGAAATTATACCACGTAACACAGTCACTTAAGTGGCTGTGCTTTGCTCCCTTTTATAGAATTCAGCCTTTTTGAAGTTTCCTTATATGAAAACATATAGCAAGGTATTTGACCATTTTTACATGAGGTCTGCTTATATAATGTCCTTGAAGTATTCATCACTGCACCTTCCATTGCATTTATCCAAGTTGCTACAATAGTTTGCGTGTTTCTAGAGGTACAGAGGTTGGCTCAATGAAATACAAAACTCCTAAAATTAAGTAGATTGCTGAGGGTTTTGCACATTTGCTATGTTCAGCATTTGAAAGCAGTTTCTGCTGAAAGTCTGTCTACTTAAAATTCAAGCACTCTGCAACTAAGGAACTCCAAAAAGAGGTAATGAACCATAAATTATTGCCGTTAGATATTTAATACTCAATCAGTATGTGCTCTCTCATGCATATCCCACTGGCATTGCATTTATTCTGACAGTGTGGTACTGGTTCAATTACTTTGCTCATTTACAATAAAAGATTAATGAAAAGAGGTATATTTTAGTTCACAGAGATTAATTGCATCCCTTACTTTCCCTACTCTAGAAATATTCAACCCATAATCCTGATAGCTTTTTCGTCAACAAGTACATGGAAAATTAATAGACTTTCTTCTGCTGGAATCCTCAGTAGGCTTGCAGATACAAACATCCAGGGAAAAGCTGACTGAAAGTTGGCTTTCTGGTATGGAGGAATTAATTTACCTTCTCTCCCTCGCTCTTTCTTTTCTCTTCTCTCTTTAATCCACTCTGATGACACTTTGAATTAGCCGGAATAAAAACGCTAGTGCAGTAAAAGTTTGAAACCAGCACACTCTTTGTCTTATGTAGTCCAACTAATACATGTTGTGTATTTCCCTACTGAGGTATGGCCGAAGGCAGCTAGTCGTGAGGGTGGATAGACATTTAAAGCACTTTCTAGGGTGTTAGTGTCTACTAAAATTTAACAGCCTTTATATTTGCAGAGTACTTGCTAAGGCTACTAATAAAACTTATTTTTAATCTTGCTATGAATGTAGTTGATACTTGTTTAAAATTGCAAAGGTTCTCACATAGTTTAAGACTGAATAACATCTCAGGCATTTTAGTTTGGGGTTTTTACTCATCTGTGTAAAGATGATGGGGGGGAAAAAATTAAACAAAAAAGTCATTTGTGTGTATGCTGTTGATATGTAGGGAGAGAATGTTCTGCTTTATTTTGAGTTCTCTCTAATAAGAAAGCAAATCTAAGAAAAAGGCAATAATTACAATATTATGACAAAACTCATCAGTGGCAGTCATTTATAAAAATACAAAGTTGAGACTTACATGCAAGCTGCAGAACCTTAAGGCAGATCTTCAGCACCTCACATTTGCAGCTGGACTTTGGCTTAGCCTTGGAAGCAGCAGCCAATTTGCGATCTTACTGGAACACAAGTAGATAGCAGGGCAGGTTTCAAAAGGGGTTGATTCCAGCTTCCATGAGCCTCCAGAAATGCAGAATTTAGCACAAATTTCTAAACCTGTTTATCTTATAGAACCAGAAGGGAAATCTGTTTAAAATAATCTTGCATTGTTTTTGCAGTTCTGGTTCTGCTCACTCCTGAAAACTATTAGTGGAAAAAAAGATGCAACATTTCAACATTTTGGACCTTAAACATTTGCTCAGGCATTAAAAATAGATGTATGCTTTAGATGTGTCTAGTACACGCACTTACTTCACCTAACTTGTCCGACTCTCTGTGGTCATGCAGTAAAGGCTCTTAGAACTAGCTTTGAAAATGCTTCCTGGATATCCTGCTCTAAATCTACTGCAAAATATGTAATAGCTAGCTTAAAGTCTGTATCCCGCTCAACCTCAAAATGCAGTTTTATGTATTATGATCCTTTTTAATCTGTACTATTTTACATTTTATTAAGTCTCATCATTAATTCAGGGTGAGCCTTGCTGATTTAGAGAGTAGAATGAAACCTGAACTGGTTTATGATTGGATGGTACAATTTATGGGGCAGTTTAAGGTAAATGAAGAAGCGTGGCTTCAGGGAGTTGTACGTCCTCTGTGGTCATTACACAGCCAGGTTTGTCTTCTGAGCACTGAACAAAGACATGGATAAAATATTCAGACTTGGACTGTGGTATCTTAATAATGAGGATTTTACAGGCCTGTTTAATCCCGGGGGATTTAATCTGTAGGGCCTGTGCCTCTTTCTTCAAGACTGCCTCACTTCCATTGGACAGTACAAGGGATTCCGAGTTCTTAACTTGAAATAGAGTGCATAAATCGAATACATATGTACAAGTTCTGAAGAACTGAGGTTAGACAATATTGCTTAATGCACTGTGCCCTGATTGTATGATGCTGTTCATTTTCCTCATTTTACTCAGCATGGGGGATCTTTCTGGAAATTATTTCACTGGAGTAAAAAAGTGTTCATTGGCTGCTCTTCAGGATAAACTGGGTTTACTTCTCTGCACATTTTAATGAGACCTGAATAGTTTGCTGGTAGCTACATCTGATTTAGAAAACCGCAGCAAAGCACTACTGCTGCATATAATTCTTTTCTGTTTGAAAACTGTATTTTAAAAACTGAATAATTTAGCTTATTTCACTTCTGTCTATGCCTACTATTTCTTTGAATGCTGGATGATTCTATATTTAATTTTTGATCTTTCTACTAGCAGATTTTTTAATTTAATAATACAATAATATGCTTTAGAGCTGCCTGTAATTACTTGGAAGATATGACTTCTTTTTGTGTAAGTTATATGCCTGTAATTAAAAGAAGACCTGGCATATATATCTCCAGTTAATAACACTCATGATAATAGAAAACTTGTGTAGATTTTAATAGGAAACAACTTTTTAATTTGCTTTTATTGAATCCTGTGTAAATTGACACAAAACTATTTCCCTTCCATTGCACAGTAAGTCTTAAGAAGAAAATCTGATAAAAAGACAACTTTAAATTCTGCATAGTAGATGCTGATTTGAGCACCTTTGCAGAATGCCACAGAGCTGTGTCCTGCCATGGGGTTTTTCTACAGAAACATGATGCACTGTCCTAAACCAGAAACTGTGTTTTCACCCAAGACAAAACTTGTAATGCTGAAGAAACACTTGCTTAACCGTTATAGGCACCAAAGCTGCATAGGTAGCTCAAATTCCAAACTTAAACCTTTTGTGCAGACACTTTCAGGTGTCTGTTCACAGTGTTTCTGAGAGATCAGCTGGTAGCCTGAGAGTAAGACTAAAGCAGGTGGGTTTAAATGCCCTGTGGCAGAGAACAGACCTAAGGTAAGGATCTACTACTGTGTCCAGTGTGACAGCAGGCACTGCGAGAAGAAAGGGGATTACAGTAGCACTGCCTATTTTCTTGATACATGCTTTGGAAATATTTTTCTGCTGTTGAGCCTGTAGGACAGTCTGAGGAGAATATGCTGATGGAAGTCCTTTTTGTGGGCTTCTACAGTATTGATTGGTGATGAGCCTACCTCTGCATCTTTCAGTGAAACTACAGTTCATTCAGCTGTCATTGTTCTTTCCGTACTTCTTTTGGAAAGCAGCATGACTGCAGTGCTTACAGCACATATTAATTTTGAAGATAACTGTAACACTTGCACTTTTTGTTCTTCTGCTGGGTCTTCCTCAGTCTAATTGCCTTGCTTATTAATATTCTGCATGCATATGTGTAACTCTATAGCCATGTTTCATACCATAGAAGTATTTGGGGGTCTACAGTTGGAAAATGCAGTTATTGTTCAAGCAATGCTCTTGCAGAGACACCCTTTAAAATAAAGTACATCAATTCAGCAATGTTCTTGCATACTTGTACAGAATTTCGCCTTATTGTGCTGCAAATTCTGAACCAATTAATTCAGTGTGGTATTAAAAGATGAGAGTAAACGAAACTTGAGGGGGGAAGGTATCATTTCTTTAACTGGATTTGGCAGTCGTCGTTCATTTCCTCTGCACTCTGTCTTCTGCCTTGTCTCAGAAACCACATTGTAAATTCGAATATTTTAAATATCTTTTACAGAAGATTTTTTTAAAGATTCTCAAACTATAATCTTTCTTCATCTTTAGCCTTAACAAACTCTTAATCTAAAATTTTGGACAGATAATTTTCCACAGCACTCATTAAATAAATCAGAGCATCTGTTTCTTTAGCATTTGATTTTCTTTCTGTTGCAATCAGGGCAGGACCAACCAAGGGAAAAAAAGAACAAAAGTGATCGCTTTTCTTCCACTTGGTTGCTAAGATCTCTGGTGATGTTTGCTTCTAGGACTTAATTCAAAAGTTCAAGGAAATCAAGTCTTTCTATTTACTTCAGAAAGCTTGAAGAGGGAGGGAAATCACACTGCTACTAAAAAATGTAATCAAATATCTAATGCAGTTCTGCTCATCCTTTAAGTAAGATGAGATAAATTTCAGTAATTTTACTTTTAAACTAAAATTTATTGAAACAGTGTTTTTAAAAGACCTTATTTATTACTGCACTATTTTAAATCAGAGACTCCATGAGTGACTTCTTGGCCATAAACAGCTGAAAACAGTCAGTGAATTAATAGTTGTATGTAAGAGTGTTTCTTAGTGTGTTTTCGGAACTGTTGTCGTTTAACATGTCTTTTTCCCCTGGAGCCAAATGGGGAAGGTAGAGAAGGAGGTGTCGATTGAATGTGTCTATGTCAAATATACTTTGATATTGTCCTAAATCAATCAGATTTTTCTTCCCCCTTACTCTGATACTGCTTAACTCCATTATAATAAAATAACTATGTAAGTTTATAGAAGGGTTTATATGATGGGGGGAATTGGATCCTCAGGAAATTGTCTGCCTCTACAGAATGTGGCCCAAGAGGGAAGAACAGCCACAGTTTGAGTTTTAAAGCTAAAAATTACTTACGCATTATAAATGGTATAGGAGAAAAGGTCTAGAAGCTTAAAAGATCATGTAGGTGAAACTTGGGTATCTTGCATCAGAATCATACTGCAGCCCTTCCATGATCAGTCTCTCCATGGTTGAGATTCTGGAGTTCTCAGAATTGCTCTTAATTGGATTTTATCTAATTTTTTGGTTGTAGTATTGGATTTATCCTCCAAAAGTAATAGTTAAGCATAGTAAAATTGATTAGTATTGGGAAAAATTATAGAAGTTTCATTAAATTGATTCTCTTCTGCACATTTGCAAACAATACATCTGAATCTCCATATCTTCAGAGATTTTCTTGTGTTCAATTTAATCTCTTTCTGAAGAAAAGATGGATTTTCATTACCTGAATTTTCTTTATCAAAAATGCTACTGGCAAAACAATATATATGGGTATTGGGATATGCCACTGTATTTTGTGCATTGTTTCTTAATAGTAAAACTGTGGGAAAACATAATTTTTAAAAGTTTGAACAAGACAAAAGAAACCAAAAACCTCAAAACAATTTGGTAAAAAATATTTGTATTGCTTGAAGTGAGTAGCTTGTATTACTAAAATAAACATCACCAAACACCTTTTTATTGGTAACTATCTTTAAAAAAGATAATCAGATAAGAAAGATAATTAGGAATCAATCATTTTTGCTTTTTGAGAGAAATTATTTTATATTTAAGTCTATTTGATTTATGTGAACAAACGTAAGCAGGTTTTATTAGCTAAACTTTCTGGGGATAAAAAAAAAAACAAAACAACAAACAACCAAAACAAACCACCCGACAGTTGAATTCATACTGTTGGGATAACTTGTTCTCTATAGCAGCAATTGTTTGTGACATATATTTAAGGTCATCTATAGAGCTGTCATTAACTAGAGGGGGAAAAGTAGTTAATTAGGCCTACAGGTCCAGAAACAGCATTCTTAACATAAACTCACCTATTGCTGAAGGAGAGGTAGATGTTTTCTTCTTCCTCCACAATGAAGATAAGAAGACAGTACATTTTAAGGGATAACAATATTTATGGTGACACACAGCACTCAAGCAAATAAACAATCAGAAGCCTTCAGAGTACTATTGAGACTCTAGTGGCTCCAAGATTTATGACTAATTTTATAAATAGCTGGTTATATATTTGTTACATTTCTTAAACTTCACTTTTCTTCCTATTGGAAAAGTATATGAGAAACAAGTTGAAAGAAAACACTGCACCAGTGCTATGTGAACAGTATTTTAACCTTTCCATATAATGTAAATCAGATGAAGGAATGTGTGTGTTGGAGTCTTGGGTGGTTCTTGCATTGTGCAGCCACTGCAATTATTTAGCATGTCGTGGATCTGGTTTAAAACCACAACAGTTCAGGTGTGTGATTAAAAAGTACTACATTAAAAATTGAAAAGGGGATGCAACTGAGCCAGCTGAGGTAAGACTGGCAAGTCAAAATTAGTTGCAGTCAGCTAATGCAGATCCTTGCTTTCATGAGCTAGCTAGATTTAGAGCATGAAAGAACATGAACCTTCTACATATTATTTAAAGTGAAGATAAAAGATTAATTAATGCAATTCTGTTGTTGACCTTTGAAACATAACTTGTCTGTTAAAGGTATGATGCATAATACTTGGATCCTTCAGGTTCTAGAAGCTACAGTGAGAGGTAGGTGTGCATATCTGTAGCTTGGAAGGAAAAGGAGATTTCTAGTCAGATTCCACTGATGAAGCATGGGATAGATCTGTCCCAAGTAGAAAAGATAAGATGAGGATTTTGAGGATAAGTAGGCATCCTCACCCTGTGTGTGGAGTTATATCAGTTTGTTTCTTGTAGGAGCAGGAGACACTAAAACACATTAAAACCCTAAAAGCAGTTAC